TCAAGCCAGTCATAACAAGTCAGAAGAAGTTTATTGAGAGACTGCTAGCCAGTTGGGAAAAGGCAAGATATCTCTCTTGGGAGAGGAAAACTTGCAGTTAAGGACAGCTTTGCCAAGCAACTGGACCGGTTATTTGACATAATTACTTGCAAGTGCCCAATTGTTCTCTGATCCTGGAGTTTTGGGATGCGATCGTGACTGTAAATCCGAGGCCCACATCTCCTGTATTTGCAAGCGTAGACTATGAAGATTCCTGTGATCGAACTGGCCTTTGTCAAAAGCACAGAGAAGGCAGCGTATAGGGAGCTCTCATGATTTCTAGCCAAGATATTCCGGAGTCCAAGAGACAGGAGGCTGCCACAGAGAGACAGAAGAGGAGAAGAGTTGCCGAGGAAAAGAGACTTGAGAAGGCCCATGGTGAGGTAAAAAAGGCCGATGATTGGAGTCAAGCTGATTCAGAGTTTAATGACTTTCCTATGGCTGATCCGAGTGCTGACCAGGAGAATGGTGACTTTGTCCCTAACCCAGAAAATAATGATCCCAAACCTTCCAGGCATAAGATTCGAAATAGGGGAAGATATCCCGAGCATAGCTCTGGCCAGCATGCGACACCACACTGGTCGCAGAGAAACTGCAGAGATAGCAACAGCTGCTGGGTTGACGGTGGTTTGATAACACCTGATGATGTTCACCTGGTGATAGATCATAACAAAGTAAGGAGAGCTCAGGATAAACTTGTCAGTAACCTAGAAGAGGAGTTTGATAAGGGGATAAGAGAAAATGGAATCAATTGTTTGTTCTTTGATGGGAGAAGGGATGACACTAAAGTGTTCATGAAATTGGAGATTCTGACAAGTTGTTCCCTGCCATGGTGAAGGAGGAACACTACTCCTGCTGCAGTGAACCAGGAGGGAAGTATTTGTGGCATTTCACTCCAGAGAAAGATGACATCAGGAAACCAGCTGAGATAGTGGCAGATAACATTGTGAACTGGCTCACAGAGAGGAACGTAGACCAGACCCTGCAGGCCATTGGAGGGGACAGCACCAACACGAACACAGGGTGGCAAGGGGGGTCATACAGTGGATAGAGCGGAAGATTGGGAGGAAGCTGGTCTGGATTGTTTGTGACCTCCACACCAACGAGTTGCCATTCAGACATCTGATCCAGGAGCTGGATGGCAAGACTCTTTCAAACAACAGATGGTCTGGTCCTCTTGGCAAGATGCTGGACTCTGCCACTGAGTTAGAAATAAATCCGAGCTTTGAAAAAATCACAGTTGGCCCTCCACTCGTTGAGCTTGCACATACTGTCATTGACGACCTGAGTACTGACCAGTACTATGGTTGCATGATTTGCAGTGCCATCAAAACTGGGGTCATGCCTGATAGACTTGCTTACCTGCAGATAGGTCCAGTCTCCCATTCTAGGTGGCTCACAACGGCTCTCAGGTTCTGCAGAATTTGGTCATCATCATAAACTGAAGGAACCAGCTTCACAACCTGAGACTTATTGTCCCAATTCATGGTAGTGTCTACTTGCCAAGTGGTTCAACAAAGGTCAAGTCATCGTTCTCCGAAGGTCCGAGGCATGTTCTCTTCCAGCAGGCTCCTGAGGAGTCAGCCAAGGCTGTTCAGGTAATGGAGCAGACTGTGAGGAGATCTTCCTGGTATGCTCATCCCGAGGCAGTTCTGCAGACAATGCTCTGGAGTAAGGATGAGGAGGAGAGAAGAGTGGCAGTCAAAAAGATCTTGGATATGAGACTTATGAGAGGATCTGGGCATGACGAATCAGTTGGTGACGATTCCTTCAGGGTCAGGAAGACTCCTGAAGTCAATCTAGGTGCCAAGACTCTCACTGATCTCATAGATCTGGATAACATCCAGGCTGGCAGTGAGCCCCCTCTTACCTGCAGCCTCACCAATGTTCAAGTCAGAGCTTTCCTGGACAACCCCATGCATGTCCCTGCCTGGCCTTCGCACACCCAGAGTATAGGCGTTGTGTACAGCAAGTGAGCGAGGCCAGCAGTCACGTGTACAGCCAGGAGAGGAGGGAAGGCTACATCCGAGCTCAGGTGGTCAGCAGGGAGGTGATGAGTAGAAACAGAAGCAAGAAAGACATGTTCTCTATGGTGTGCAGCAACACCGGGTCGTAGTAGTAAAACCGGTTTTTGTATTTGATGATTTTGTTTTCTAAAGGAATATTAAATTTAATAAATGTGTCAAGATCATTCGTTTCACTATTCTGGATCATTTTCATCCTAATAAATTCACCTGATACATTTACTTTACTTTAAATAAGCTATTTAGTGGTGTTGGTAAAAGGGTGGGAATACTGAATTTTCATAAGATTTCAAGTTAAAATTTACCTAGCAAAAATGAAAACTTTTCAAATCTGAAGATATTACATGATTCTGCACATAGAACTACATCATTAATACCATGGGCCGATTTTTCAAACTCAAAAAAAAAAAATTCGCCTCCAGATGACACAACTTACTGTACAGTCATGCTACCGTTAACGCTCGATCCCAGGTTCAGCCTCTCAAAAAAAACGTGACGCCTGCTGGACCACCACTCCACGACCCCGTGACGGAGACATGATGATCCTCCCCATACTGGTCAGATATTATGTGTTAAAGGAATATGCTTCCTTACTTAGGCTTTTTTAAGCATTTGCCTACAGGTGAAATGTTAACCTACATCTATTGAGGATAAAATCTTTCACCTACAAATTGACAATAACACATTTGCTGTAATCAAACATATCTAGTTGCCTCAACAATTGCAATCCCAGTTGCAATTGGGGTTGCAATTTCAAATTCTGTGGCATTACTAAAAATAGTAAAGTCTCTGGTGCATTCTAAGATTAAGAGAGAAAACGGAGGACTCAGGCGTCCTGATGCGAGAGAAAATGGACTCATATGATGGGGGACCAAATAAAAAAAAGCATAGCTACATGTTTTGTGAACTACAGTATTAAGCGTACCCTTTTCATCACTTTGTAATAAACCTAGCCATGCTTATGTGTGTTTATGATATTTACCATAACATTATATATATATTTAGTGGGTATAAATGGTCGTAAAATGGGAAACTTGGGGTTGGGCCTTGGGTAAATGATCCAATTAGAATAAATCCCATAGGTTCTGTACTTTTATTATCGCCGGGGTCCCAATTAGGCGCGATAACCAAGAGATGACTGCATTGTACTGTATATACTTGTGACACTTGCCAGTTGCTTCTGGTGTTATGGTACAGGGGTACCTAGTGACAGCACTAGGATCCCGCTTCCTTTATCAAGGAATAAACAATTAAAATTTAAATTGAAAAAAAAAACACATTCAAATAAATTACTATCTTACAAGAATCCCTCCAATGTAAGTTATATTCACCCAGGTCGTTTGGGTGGAAAATTATGAGAAGAGCTTAGTCACTCTTAAGGAATGATAAATAAACACGCAGGCCTTCAGTGCCAACTGTCAAATCATATCTCAAATAAATAAATAAACAAACAAACAAACGCCAGACATTCTGTCACCCCACCCCCTTCCCGTCTTCCCACCACCCTCGTGTTCAAGATAAAATATTGGTCAGTTCTTTGTTTATTTTATATAATATCTCAGACTAAAGTTAGGATAATATAATTTGCATTGCTGAAATCCTTGCACGACAGAGATTAATTTGAATATAAGCGTCATATATTTTGCTCAAGATATAAAAAATGTAGTACATTGGTGTACAATACTGTAGTACATTTTATAAAAAGTTTTTCAACTGAATTTTTGGGTAGATTTACATAAATTTGTTCATTTATTTTCATCCATTTACATGCACACACCATACTAAAAGAAACGTAAAAGAAATAAATGACCTTAGTGCAAAGCTGGAGTGCACATGTACTAATTTGATTACGGTACTAAAATTGTTATGTCTAGTGCGAATTACAACATGTTTATATTCAAATAAATCAGTATCTTACAAGAATCCCAGCTATGTTAATTATATTTTCCTAGGTCATATCACTGGCATTTTAAAAGGAAAGAAGCTTAGTAGGACTGTTAAATAAACACACAGAGACCTTCACCTCAAACTTATCACCTCAACCCCCCCAACCCCTCGCTGGGTGGCGGAGCCATCAGTCCCTCCCCCCAGCCAGGCTTTTAGGCTTACAGTTTTTATCTTATATAATATCTCAGACTAAAGTTAGGAGATTATAATTTGCATTGCTGGAATCCTTGCAAGACAGCCAATAATTTGAATATAAACATCATATATTTTGCTCAGGAGATAAAAATTGTTGTACATTAGTGTACAATACTGTAGTACATTTTATAAAAAAGTTTTTCAACTAATTTTGGGTATATTTACATAGATTTCTTAGTGCAAAGCTGCAGTGCACATGTACTAATTTGATTACGGTACTAAAATTGTTTTGTCTAGTGCAAAGTATAGCATCTTTATATTCAAATTAATCAGTATGTTACAAGAATCCCAGCTATGTTAATTATATTCACCCAGTTCATTTCACTGGCTTTTTATAAGAGAGAAGCTTAGTCACCTAAGAACTGATAAATATACACGCGTTAGACCTAGGCCTGCGCCAACTGTCAAACGTACTACCTCCCCTCCCCCCACGTCCCCTCGCTCGCTCCCACCCTCTCCCCCATCTGCTCGGCGTTGCTGGAATCCTTGTAAAACAGTAAATAATTTTAATATAAACGTCATTTATTTTGCACAAGAGATAAAAATTAATCACCTGTATCACATTACAGTTGTGATTTAACAGTAAAAGTGTATATGTATGTATATAGTATTCCACATACACATAAGTATAAATAAAAAGTTTGTGATGATCGGACAATGTCCATTTCGGTTAACGTCACGTTTCCAAGAACGTATCTAGGACGTTAACCGGCGCATGAGTGTATATGATATTTCCTGATTATTTTTTATTATGTAGTTATCGGTAATAATGTTTCTTGCTTTCCTTTTTTCCAGGTAGAAAATATCCTCATCAGTAGTGAAGGTAGCTATGTTTTGTGCGACTTTGGTTCTGCTACGGCACGGGTGTTGTGTGGGACAACTGACGGTATATCTAAGGTGGAAGAGGAAATTCAGCGCTATACTACTTTAGCTTACCGTGCTCCAGAAATGATCGACTTGTACCTTGGCCGACCAATTACCACGAAATCAGATATATGGGTAGGTTACTTTACCTTTGTTTCTCCTATGAAGTGGTTAGGTTCAGTAGATCTTATAGTATTATCTGTGTGTCTTCTTCTTATAGTGCCTTATTTGTGAGGTTATTATGAAATGAACATAAAATTAGCTCACAGTTTTTCTTCCTAGGTAAAGTGTTAGGTACCTTTGAAAAGTCTTCGTCTATCAACAAAAGTGATACAGTAGAACGTCGATTTAAAGCGATTCAATTTAAGATTATTGATTTAAAGCGACACCCACAATTAAGGACAATGTTTTAATTTAAAGCGAATCTTTTCTATTTTGCGCAAGTCAATCTGGCGCATCATATTTAAAATTTTGTGCCTAATGTTTCTCTGGGTATGCTACACTGTCCTAAGGGCAAAGCTGTATTGTACATGTACTCAAAATAATGTACTAAATGATTACTAAAATTTTTGTCTAGTGCAAACTATAGCATGTTTACAGTCAAATTAATCACTATCTTATGAGAATTCCAGCAATGTAAATTATATTCTCCCCGGTCACTTCTGTGACATTTTATAAACAAAAAACAAAAACTCAATCTAAAGGCCGTAAATAAACAATTAAATACTTCAGTAGACCTTCGGTGCCAACTGTCAAACATGTCACTGTCGCCTACCCTCCCTCCCTCTCCCCTATCTTCCCAGCCAGGGTTTGGTTGTTTAGGGCTTTTAAGTTTTTATCTTATATAATATCACAGACTAAGGTTAGGAAAATATAATTTGCATTGCTAGAATCCTTGCAAGACAGCGAGTAATTTGAATATAAACGTCTTATATTTTGCACAAGAAATAAAAATTTTATCCCTTTGTAATAAAATAAATTAGAACATGTCAGTTCAGTGACATTTTAAAAGAGAAAACTTAGTCACTCTTAAGGACAGATTAATAAATAAGCACTGGACCTTGGCATCAACTGTCAAACATATCACCTCACCTCATCCCTCCCCCCATCTTTCCAGCCAGTAAACAGACCATTTTACGTCCTATAATTTTAACTGTGTTGATTTATGAGTGTTTGTTTTCACATAATGCTACAAAAAACAATGTTTTGTTTATTCTAGGAGATGGGCTGAGGTGCATCTGGGTAGACTCTCTGTCTTTATAGTATTTGGTGTTTCTCTCAAGTACTGTACCAAACTACTGTAAATTATTCCATTGAAACAACACTTTGATTTAGTGCGAATTCGGTTTAAAGCGACCTCTCTTGGAACGAATCTCATGTTATAGCGACGTTCTATTGTGTACAGTATCTTTGTTGAAAGAACCAATAAATGCATAAATATTGTGATGGGACTCTAATTTATATTTTTTTATTTATTTTTTCCTTTACTGTATATGGTAGAGGGCAATCTAACTGGTATTACATGATGCTTTCTGAGAAAAGTCTCCTAGTGCAAAGGAAATGTGAAATTACAAAGCAGTGTGTAATTCATTCATTATTGCATAGCTGATTGTGTTACTGACTTAGAACAATTATTTTGTAACATCATGATCCTGGACTTGTATAGGTTGTCACACTAAATTATTAGGGAAGCACTGTTAATTCTAAGAGTATAAGTATAAGTAATTGTTTTGGTCTTATGGGAGTTACCCCACAATTTAACATTCCTTTTCAGAACCTACCATGGCATGGGTACTGTGCAATGCTTAGTAACAGTCAACATTATCCATATGGCCAATGGTAATGCAGAAAATAGCATTCTCATTCAGTCAGACCAAGTTCATGTCTGAATTCATTGTTGTTTCAAGTAGGGATGCACCGGAGCTTAGTTCCGGCCAGAGCCTCAATTTTTATTCCGGCCGAAATTTTAGAAAAATAACCGGCCGGAACTGGAAATTTTTATTGTGATATTGGTTACTGTTTCATGAATTTTACCTTCAGTTTCTTCAGTACTGAACAGTCTACACTTCTGGTTGTAACTACTTATTTTATAACCAATGCTTCTTGGTAACAATGTAACAGTATGTAACACAGTAATGGGGAGAACATAATACTGTACTGTATACGTAAAGGTATTACAAGCCGACTCTTGTAATTTTCCACAAACTGCTTCAGGTTACTAACTTGGTCAAAACACTTCACATCATCAACTTTTATCAATCAAATATTTGACACACGGCTCCACATCAGTCCAGTTTGGTGTTTCACTCAAGGTTATCCACTTGAAACAAGAAGAATCTTCCATTGGTTTCATCCATATCTCAATATACTCCAGGCATCTGTCGTATAGATTAACTATTTCAGCACAAAACTTGGTACACTCTTTTTCATTTCCTTCTGTGCATTTTTGAGCAAGCAATCCTTTAACTTTCAAGGACATAAAATTCTGACTCTTGCATTCTACAAGCATTTTATGAACAGATTCTAAATTTTTCAACACTGCAACAACCGAATTGCTTTCCATTTCAATTGCTTGAATGTGTGTGTGAAATATATTCATTAATGGGTGTATGTGCCAGAGGTAAATCTCACTCATTTCATTCTCAAAGAATTTTTTAATTACTGTGGGTGGTTTGTCTTGTGATAGAAAGAAATATTTCAAAGCAGGAAAAATCTGTATTAGCCTGGCGATGCCAGGCAATAGTGACAGTCAGCGAGTCTTACTATGGGAGAGGAGCTTCCTGTATTCAACTTCAACAAAATCACAATACTCCTTGAGCTGCTCAGTTCGAACTGTGTAGATATGAAAATATTGATAAATTTTTCAGATAATATTTTCAATATCAATATCCATTCTTTCTGCAGAATGATGGACACAGTTGTTTAAAATATGCGCTGGGCAACCCACTCCAATTAATGATCTCTTTTGAAACATTTTCTTCAAATTTGCAAACACATTATTACCGTCTTCATTACGCCTGAGTCCTCCAAGCATTGTATTGCAGTTGTCACCTGTGAATGCAACACATTTCTCAGAGAGACCATTTTTCTCCAGAGTTTCAATTGTGTCTGCAGTCTCATTAAGTGTGTTCTTTAACTCAATCCGTTTTGACTGTAAACCACCATTCTTCCAGTCAAAGTACTGAATAATTACAGGAAATAGCTTTATTGAATTGTGATTACTTCCATCTGTAGCAATTCCACAACATGCTATCTCATTTTCTTCAAGATTTTTCAAGGCAGCATTAACAGAATGCGGTGCAAGCACAAAATTAACAATTGCTTCTGTTTTTGTTTGAGCACTAGAAAACTTCTTTGCCACCTCAGAATCAGAAAAAGTCTTTTTAACCAAGACACATGAACAGTTCATGGACGTGAAGCTATTGTGATGTTTAACAGTGTGAAATACCTTCTGCAGCAGTGACAGCATCTTCACTTTTACTACCTGGTTTGACCAAAAAATCTGTCAGTTTCATCGATGAGCCCTCTCCTTGAACTGCTCTCTTGTGTTTGCAAATCATTAATACTTTTATTTGCCACAGAGACGTACATTCTTGGTTTGCACACCAAACACTGCTCTTCCCATTCATCCCTGCCTCTCTTAAAACATGGGAGTTTGCTCTGCAACTCGTTATAGAAAAAAATGAGTTGACAACACTGCATAGGCGACACGTGACTTATCAGCTGACGAAAACTGAACGAGATCTCTACGGTTTCCACCTCCCCTCTCTCTCAGTCTCTCTCTCTCGTCATTACAGTTTCATGTTTTTTTCCGCGGAGAAAATGATGGAAGCTGAAATTCCGGACTTTCGAAGAATTGTAAAAATTACTTCCGGATGAAGATTTTGAGACCTAAATGGAGGACATGTCTGGGAAAATACGGACGTATGGCAACCCTATGTGTCCTCCAATATTGCAGTTTAAGGTGAATCATCGTATCATGAATCATTAATTACCTTTAAAATAAAGTAATAATATTGAGATGCATTCCCAAGTGTGACCTTTTCATATCTTTTGTGTGACTTTTTACGCTCTTTTCCCACCAAACAATTAAATATGCAAACTATATTCTTTAAGTAATGTTTATGAATGCACCTTATACAATATAAATAAATAATAATAAGGTCACACAAGAGGAGATGGGACGCCATTGTTTTTGTTAGTGTTTACACCCGTGACGATGGTTGTACATAAGAAACTGAAGAAAATAAGACCCTGGTTGTTGCTGTAGTAAAATTAATGTAAAATATGAATACAGTAAGTCCTCGCTTAACTTCGGGGTTACTTTCCTAAACACGTGACGTTATACGAAACAACGTTAAGCGGATCAATTTTCCCCATAAGAAATAGATAAAATATGGGAGTTACATTCCTGAGCCTCCCTTTACCCCATGAAATACATTGCATATACAGAAAATCATTGCCATTTCTATAGAAAATAGTGCATACATATACAGCTACTAAGTTTGTATTGGTACTCACCGATGGGCAGAGGTGGCAGAGTAAGTGTGTGGTGGGTAGTGAGGCAGATGGCGGGAGGGGAGGAGGGTGGCGAGTCACTGAGACTCTACCGAGCCGAGGGAGAGTAGAGCAGCCAGACAAGAGAGGGTGATGTGCCGTAAAATGTAGTCTGTGACAATGCAAAACTACGTAGTGTCGGATCCCCGGGATGTTAAATTAATTTTTGGTTTCTAAAGTTTTGCGACGTAGTACCGAAACAACGTTAAGCGGGACGACGTTATACGAGTACTTATTGTATACAGTCTCTCCTTGACTTAGGACAGGGTTCCGAACTGATGACCAGGTCATAAGTCGAATTGGTCGTAAGTCGAAAATGCGAAAATAATACATGGAAATTCTAAAATGAAATACGGTACAGTAAAAGTAATCAATAATGAAAAATGAATAAAGTGTTACTGTGCACTTGTCTTTAATGCAGTCAGCTGAATGCACACGGGGCCTCAATAATTTTGTAATTAAACATGGAGACTACATTAATTGGATGAAGCAGAGGCGGAGACAGGGCTGGTTGGGTCTTCAATTTTGCTTTCTTCAGACAGGTTAACATACTTGCTTGTTGAAGGAATTGGATCATC